TAAGGGTTATACACAAAATTATAAAAAGATTAACAAAAGAGAACCAATATTAAAAAAAATCATAATTTTTAAATAACTTAAATCACTTAAAATCACAACAATAATAATAATTTTAAACTATTTAGGCAGCAAAAACAACAACAACAAAACACAAAAGAATTTTAGACAGGTTACCATGTGAACATAGAAATATTATAAAAGATAATAGTAAAATATTTAAATAAAATAAGCACGTAAACTACATAGATTTAAGGTATGAATACATATAACCCAGCAAAGTTTTTTGTTAAAACTCAAAGCTAAAGGATGACAAGAGCTTAACAGTTATCTTAACGAACCCATTATCCTCTAATAACTGTCTTAATTTCCATTTTCTTGTTATATTCTGAAATTGTTTGCTGGTCGTTGAGATTTGTTACAGAAAACTACAACAAAATATTTTTACATATTTTTGTTGTAAATTTTAAAAGTTTATTCCAATTTAACAATGACCCTTTAGCATTTAACATTGTGTTTTTCAAATTGTTTTAATATTGTGTGTAGTCTATATAAGAAGGGGCAAACCCAAAAGTAAGTACAAGTACAGGTATCTATAGATATATAGTTGTATAGGTGTATAAAAAGAGTCGCGTTAATGAGTGACTGTTTTACTAAAACGCGGAATCCTATAGTCATGAAATCTTAAAAGTATTACAAACATCAGCTCAAAGGCTCTCAAATAATCTAATAGAACTTTTTCTATTCGATATTCTATTACTTAAAACCACTCATTTTCCATAAACGCGTTCTATTTTTATACCCTACACCACAAAGTTTACCAATCGTCTCAGAATCACTTTTTGAGTCGAATCACTTTTGAGTCGAATTAGCTATGTGCGTCCATATATACGTCCGTCTGTCTGTCTGTCTGTCTGTCTGTCTGTCTGTCTGTCTGTTTGTCTGCCTGTCTGCCTGTCTGTCTGCCTGTGCCCATGTATACGTTGTGCGCATGTACAGGTCGCAATTTTCAAGAGCGTTCTGTTTATATACCCTACACCACTCTAGTGGGGAGTGTATTATGCATTTGTTACAAAGTATACCAATAGGCACAGAATCACTTTTTGAGTCGAATCACTTATGAGTCGAATTAGCTATGTCCGTCCATCTATACGCCCATTTATCCGTCTGTCTGTCTGTCTGTCTGTCTCTCTGTCTGTCTCTCTGTCTGTCTCTCTGTCTATCTATCTGTCTATCTGTCTGTCCATGTAAACATTGTGCGCAAGCTACAGGTCGCAATTTTCAAGAGCGTTCTGTTTTTATATCCTACACCACTCTAGTGGGGAGTATATTATGCATTTGTTACAAAGTATCCAAATCGGCTCATAATCACTTTTTCAGTCGAATCACTTATGAGTCGAATTAGCTATGTCCGTCCATCTATATGTCCGTTTATCCGTCTGTCTGTCTCTCTGTCTATCTGTTTGTCTATCTGACTGTCTATTTGTCCGTCCGTCTGTGTGTCCATGTAAACATTGTGCGCATGCTACAGGTCGCAATTTTCAAGAGCGTTCTGTTTTTATACCCTACACCACTATAGTGGGGTAGGGTATATATACATTTGTAACACTCAAAGATATTGGTCACAAAGTATACCAATCGGCTCAGAATCACTTTTTGAGTCGAATCACTTTTTGAGTCGAATCACTTTTTGAGTCGAATCACTTTTGAGTCAAATTAGCTATGTGCGTTCATCTATACGTTCGTCCATCCTTCCATCCGTCCATCCGTCTGTCTGTCTGTCCATCCGTATGTCTGTCTGTCTATCTGTCTGTGTGTTCATGTAAACTTTGTACACATGCTACAGGTCACAATTCTCTGAAATTGGACACAAGGACGAAGCCTATTGAAAATGGTTAAAATCGGTCCATTATTTCGTCTAGCCCCCATACAACCTTAATCACCGAATAGGGCTTTTAAGTTCATAATTATGTTAAATGTTTTAGTGTCTCAACAAAAATCCAAAAACTTAGCTTTTTTAAAAGTCTAGATGATATTCGTAATAATCGGACCTCATTTGATCCTAGCCCCCCATACAAGATCCCCTTCACAAAATGACTTAAAGATCAAAATTCACTTATAAACACCAACAACACGATGAAATTCTGAAATTCTAAATTTTATATTTCATTTCGATCCCAAAAAGCGAAGTGTACCGGATATAAAAGTATTAATATATTAAAAGATTTCCATATGTAAGTAAAGGAAAATGAAAATTTATTAAAAAGAAAATACAATATTCAAATTTAAATTTATCAAACGATAGCTATTGTTAATTAATTTTCAAACAATTTGGCAAGTCTTTTTTTTTTTTTTGTGGGCTTGAGAGGTTGTCTGCAAAACAAAACATGACAGTATAATAAATGCATGTTATTACTACTACAACTACGTTTTACATTTACATAGAACTGAACAAAGGATGCAATGAAAAAAAAAAAAAAAAAAAAGAGAAAACACACACCCATTCGGAACATATAGTATAAAAAATTAATTGAAATTTATATTTACTTAAGGCTATTCAATGTTAGTGTGAGTTTATATACACACATGTATACTGAACAAACACATACAATATAAATATTCTATTATTCTGTTTAAATGTGTATGTTTTTTTCCATATGTAAATGTTTTTGCAATGTAAAAAGGTAGAAAATGCATAACCCGGCAGTTCAGGAGAGGAAATCATTGAGAACACTTTCTAAGGTAAATACCTGACATAGTGGCTCTTAGTATCTAGTCTTTTGCATCCTGTTTCTAAGGTAAAGACCACATATAGTGGCTCTTTAGTAACTAGTCTCTTTCATCCTGTTTTACCTTACACTCAGAGAAATATAATAACTAAAAGTGATACTTTAAATCCCTGTTAAAATTGCCGGTTATTTTATTTTTGTTAAAAATTTTATTTTATAATATAAAAACAGCAAATTATTTTTATGTTTTTCTATATAAGTATGTTCCACATATATACAAAAATATTTATATATGGCTGAATAGGAAATCATAAAGGGGAAATATAAATAATGAACTTTATTATATTATTCACACATACATGAGTAAATACATATTTATATATGTAAAGGTATATAAATACAAATTTTTTTCCCAACAATATTTGTATGACTGAAATCTGTTATTATAATTTATAGTAATTTTTTCACTTTTTAATGGGAAATTAATTTAAATTATCATAAAAACAACGAAATAATAAACTGAATTATACATAAAAGCATACATGTAACTTTAATTTAAAACATTTTGCAATTTTTAATTGAAAAGTTTGAAATAACAAAAACCTTTAATCAGCTTTAAGTATTTTTATCGGTTTTTTTTCTGAAGATCGCTTGAAAATTAAATGCAATTAAATTGTTAATACTGCTGCTAAAGTGTAAGAGGCTTTTGTTAGGGTAATGGAAAATTTATTAACAGAAAAGTTATTAAATAAAGCTTTTGATTTAAAGTGGCAATATGTAAAAAAAAACTTTTATTTTAGAAGACTGATATTAAAGGGATTTTAATTCTGCTGTTATCAATATAATAAAACTCTGACGTTATTGATATACAATGAATTGCAACTGAGTTAGAACTAGAACAGAACTAGAACAGAACTAGAACAGAACTAGAACAGAAACTAGAACAGAACTAGAAACAGAACAGAACTGAACTAGAACGTTATTAATATACAATGAATTGCAGCTGACTAGAACTGAACTAGAACTGAACTAGAAACTGAACTAGAACTGAACTAAAACTGAACTAGAACTGAACTAGAACTGAACTAGAACTGAACTAGAAAACTGAACTAAGAAACTGAACTAGAACTGAACTAGAAACTGAACTAGAACTGAAACTAGAACTGAACTAGACACTGAACTAGAAACTGAACTAGAACTTGAACTAGAACTGAACTAGACTGAACTGGAACTGAACTAGAAAAACTGACCTAGGAACTGAACTAGAAAACTGAACTAGAACTGAACTAGAACGAACTGAACTAGAACCTGAACTAGAACTGAACTAGAACTGAACTACTGAACTAGAACTGACTAGAACTGAACTATAATGAACTAGAACGAACTAACTAGAACTGAACTAGAACTGAACTAGAACTGAACTAGAACTGAACTAGAACTGAACTAGAACTGAACTAGAACTGAACTAGAACTGAACTAGAACTGAATAGAACTGAACTAGAACTGAACTAGAACTGACTAGAACTGAACTAGAACTGAACTAGAACTGAAACTAGAACTGAACTAGAACTGAACTAGAACTGAACTAGAACTGAACTAGAACTGAACTAGAACTGAACTAGAACTGAACTAGAACTGAACTAGAACTGAACTAGAACGAACTAGAACTGAACTAGAACTGAACTAGAACTACCTAGAACTGAACTAGAACTGAACTGAACTAGAACTGAACTAGAACTGAACTGAACTAGAACTGAACTGAACTAGAACTGAACTGAACTAGAACTGAACTAGACTGAACTAGAAACTGAACTAGAACTGAACTAGAACTGAACTAGAACTGAACTAGAACTGAACTAGAACTGAACTAGAACTGAACTAGAACTGACCTAGATTTGAACTAGAACTAAACTATAGTCAATTATGAACCGATCATGATGAATGGAAATGGCGTAAAAAATCAATACAACCGATTATTTTCGTATATATAGCATTCGATTATGTATGTGAACACTTATTCGATCTGAAATTAAATTCCAGCACAAAATTCGAAACAAGTCAGTAAACTTTAATCATCATTACCGATAATTTGTTTACATCACAACAAAATAAGGGTCAGTTAAACATTTCATTCTCGGGTCATAAACCTCTCTCCCTCAACACCCACACAGTTTATGTACTTACCCAATAGATTGAAGTAATTTTGTTGTTGTGTTGCAAAAAAACTGTTAAATTACAACAACCAAAAAACAAAACAATAAGAAGAAAACTTACCTGCTGGTTGTATGTGATACCAACATGGTTGTGATTGACCCATTGGACTGCTGGCCACACATGAAATCGCACCAAAACTTTCATATGAATCAATGTGATACGAGTAGACATTGTTCAAAGGAGCCATTGAAGGTGGAGGCGGTGGTGTGGCAGTAGTAACCACAACACGATGATGTTGTTGCTGTTGTTTATGCAAAGCTGTCAAACGTTTACGTTCGGCCAACTGATATTGATTATTGTGCGTAATGTCATGCAAGGGTTGCGTGTGCAGCTGTTGGTGTTGTTGTTGATAGTTTGGTATTTGTTGTTTGTTGCCACGTTGTTTGTTGTCTAAATGATTTTTATATATCAAATTGGAATAGACCATTTGGGTGTAGGGTAAATCATCGTTATAAACACCATTAACGGTTTCATCATCGTCATCATCATGGTCAGCATCAGCATGATGTGTGTCAGGTATGTGGGTATTGTGATTGTCATCATATAGTGGTTGATGGTGGTCAATTTCGAAATCATCTTCGAATTGCACATTTGACCAGGTATCGAAGTGTGGTGTTGGCTGCTGTTGCGTTAGTGGGGCCACAGCACGCAAGGCAACACGACCATGACGACCATGTATAACTTTGGCTTGTATGGGTTGCTGTTGTTGGCCATGCTTCCTTTTGCTACGTTGATAATATCCGGCGGAAGCGTGACTTGCATCCGCATGTAATAACATTTGCTGATGTTGTGGTTGTTGCTGCTGCTGCAAATGATGTAAGCCACCATTCGAGCCCACACCATTTAAGGGAGTATGCAATGAGGCCGCCAGACCTCCTCCCATCATCATCATGCCCATATTTAAAGGCAACTCAATAAGACTCTCAAGTGAGTTGTTGAAGTGCCATTTGTAATTTAGATTATCAAGAGGATTCGAATCCACTTGACATGTTATATTAATGGTTTGTTTAAGTGCGGCGCGTATTATTGTTGAATCCGATTTGCAAACAGGTGGGTCTATAGGGAAAGAAAGATAGATAGTAACAAATATGTAGGGTTTAAAAAAATGCAGGTTATTGTATCAATTAGTTATTTGGTTGAATAAGTTTTAAAGGAGATGTTTAATCGCAAAAAGCAAATAATGTTTGAAATTTAACTTTTTTATAAATATATTTAATATTTGTAAAATCGTTCACTTTTAAAACTTTTTCCTTTTTAAAAAGCCTTTAAAAAATATGCTTCACTTTTTATTAGGTAACTTGCTGCCTGCCTGTTATGCTATAAAATCCTGTTAATATGCTTAAGTTTTTGTATTCATCAAAAGTTTAACTAAAAACTAAAAGTATTTAAAAATTAGGTTTTTGTTTATATAATCCGGAGTTTTATTAAACAGGATTTTTATTAAAGTTGATTTATCAGTTTAATAAATTCTCATAAAAATCATTTCTCCTTAAAGTAGGCTTCAAAATTTTTCCTTTAGCAAACTCGTTTTTCTATGTACATATGGGTACCAATTTTCTGCTAGGTACTTATATTTCATTATGGCTTTATTTTCCTAGTTTTTCTGCTACTTCTCAAACCATCATCATCATCTATTATGATGGTATTAAATTTGAAACAAAAAACTAAGCAGAACAAGTAAGAGTGTTATATTCGGCCATGCCGAATCTTATATACCCACCATCAAATCATCCTTATAAATAAACGTTGATATTATCGATCTATGTTGAATCATATGTCGATATTATTATGAACATCAGGGAAATATTTGGAAGAGGGAAATTAATAAAGGCTTAAGCATGGACCGTGCTCTTCCGAATTAAAAATATTAATTTTGTTTGATCCAGTATTTATAACCATAAACTCATACAAAACTTGTTTATGTGAAATTTCATCGCTGTAGTCGCATTTGAGCGTTACAGCCAGTATCGAGCGTTACAGTCACTATCTGAGGGGGACCTTATACGGAGGGTGGGGTCAGTTATAGACCGATCCCCATAAAATGTGATAAATAGTTTTTGGCTAGTACAAAACTTGTTTACGTAGAATTTCACTTTTCCGAAGGGGACCTTATAGGGGGGTATGGTCAATTACAGACTGATCCTCATAAAATTTACTGAGAGATTGTAGCTAATACGAAAATTGTTCATGTCGTACTCAGTACTCGCAGTTTTAAGCTAGTAATGAGCTTTAAAGTCATTTTCTGAAGGGGACCTTACAAGGGGGATAGGGCTAATTAAGGACCGATCCTTATAAAATTTGATAAAGAACTTTTGGCTCACACAAAACTAGTTTGTGCCTTAAAGTCATTTTCTGAAGGAGACCTTATATGGGGTAGGGTCAATTATGGACCCACCCTCATAAAATTTAAGAAAATGATTTTAGTTCCTATAAAAATTTTTGATGTCAAATTTTATTGCTATATATATGCACATATGTTTCTTCAGGTCAGATATGAGCATTAAAGTAATTTTCTGAAGGGGACCTTGTATTGGGGGTAGGGTCAATTATGAACCGATCCTTATAAAATTTTACGAAGAGATTTAAATTCTTATAAAACATGTTTGTGCCGAATTTCATCGCTATTGATGCTTTTCTTAGCCAGTCATGGGCGATAAAGTCATTTTCTGAAGGGGACTTTATATGGGGGGTAGGGTCAATTATGGACCGATCCTTATAAAATTATATCAAGAGATTTATGTTCCCATAAAACATGTTTGTGCCGAATTTCACCGCTATTGATGCTTCTCTTAGCCAGTTATGGGCGATAAAGTCATTTTCTGAAGGGGACTTTATATGGGGGGTAGGGTCAATTATGGGCCTATCCTTATAAAATTTTACAAAGAGATTTATGTTCCCATAGAACATGTTTGTGCCGAATTTCACCGCTATTGATGCTTATCTTAGCCAGTTATGGGCGATAAAGTCATTTCTGAAGGCGACTATATATGGGGGGTAGGGTCAATTATGGGCCTATCCTTATAAAATTCCACGGAAAGATTTATGTTCCTATAGAACATGTTTGTGCCGAATTTCACCGCTATTGGTTCTTCCCTTAGCAAGTTATGAGCGATAAAGTCATTTTCTGAAGGGGGCCTTATATGGGGGCTAGGCGAAATTGTGGACCGATATTGCCCATTTTCAATACCAAACAAACTGCATCAACTAGAAGTATCTCTGCAAAATTTCAGCTCGCTAGCTGCTTCCATTTGGACTCTATCGTGTTTTCAACAGACAGACAGACGGACAGACGGACGGACATGGCTAGATCGTCTTAGAATCTTATAAGGACCCAGAATTAGACGAATATTTCAATGTGTTACAAACGGAATGACAAAAACAATATACCCTCCATCTTTTTTGATGGTGGGTATAAAAAGCCATATATTGAAATCATACTACTTTGGAACATACCCATAGGTGTAGCTGTATGCGTCTACATATTTATGAATTCAAAGGTAGTGTTACAGTTCTATAGCCTTTCTTTTGTATGGTGTACTTATGAAAATAATATGAACAGGTTGTTGAAATTCAATACATTGTTGAAGTAGAAAAACATAAATATGTACATACTAGCGTATGTGTGTGTGTGAGTATATATTGAAAGCATAAATAGGAACTAAGAATCGAAATAAAAACAGCCCTGACAAAGATGCCAGTAAATCTTTTACAATAACTTCCTACTACTCCTGCCCTCTTGCTAAACTCAACTGTGTTATATATATATGGAAAAGAAAAGGGTAATATTAGTTACTATTACACGCTGTGTATAGCAAATATACACAAGTCCTTGTACACTTTAGTCTATATGGTTTGGTTTATAGAAAATCTTATAATTTAGCTTATAATGGAATATTTTATATAGTTCATATGAGGATATTATATACAATGTACTTGTGCTTTACTTGTGTTTGTATGTCTTTAGTTTAATAGAAAATAGGTTGTAACAAAAAACTGCTTAACTAAAGTAAATTGTTACATCACGGTGGAAAATTGTAAGGAATTACAGAAAAAATGGAAAAACTTGAACAGTTTTATGTTTAAATAGACTTTTGTAAGGTTTTTTTAAAGGAAATCCTTAAAGTATGCTTTAGTAGTTAAAAAATATAGTATACTTTTAGGATGTTTAGAAATATTGTTTTTTATTTCATGGTAAGATCTTTGTAATATTAAATAAGTTTTGAAAGTACAAACCAGACTCATTTCCTTACTATTACTTTATTTCTTAAAGAAAAATGCTTTGAATGGTTTTATCATTCTAAGACTTTTTCCGAGTTCTACGAACTAATAGAAGCGCAGGCGAAAAATATCATATTTCTATTCAAAATCAGCAAAATCGTTTAACAAATAACTTAGATTTGATCAAAAGAAGTCTGCTAAAATTTTCATGCCTAATAGTAGGCAATACATTTTATATTTATATATATCCTCTAAAAACAATTAAAAATTTTCGTATACTTACATTTAACATCTAAATAAACTTCATTACTGGAAACACTGCCCTGTATATTGGTGGCACGACAAAAATACTGGCCATGGGAAGACTTTGGTATACCCTGCAGCACCAAAGTTTGATTGGAGATAATAATACCACGAGAGGAATGCAATTGTTTATCCTTAAATTGAAAGAAAAAGAAAAATATATATTAAATAAAAAAAATTCTCATAAATTTTAAATTATTTGCTTAACTTAATTGTTTAACTATTACTTCTGCTTGCCAGTTTCTGGTAAAACTTGCAAATAAAACTTAATTGTCTAAAAATTGTTAATTTGACTTTTAACATTAGTTTGAAATTAAAATCTATTGTGAACAAGCTGTAGTTTACTAAAAGCAAAAAACAAACTTTTGCCTTTAAACCAAATTAAATTTCAAATAGTGGTGCAAAATAAACTTTCTGTATTTTAGTACATAGAATACTGTATAGATTTTCAAATATTTTCCTAGAACTAACAACAGTTTTTTGCCAAATATTGTTTGTTTTTCAAACAAACAATGACAAAAAAAACTAAATACACTAAAGCTATCAGGAGAAAAAACTGGCTCTCGAAAAGACTAGCTGCTATAATACTTGTCTAAATGTCTGCATTAACAAAATGTTAACAACAAACCTTAACAAAAATATCCGAGCAGCAATAACAAAAGTAATATTAGGATACTAGAACAACTCTAACAAACAAGTTTTGCTGTATAGTTTGTTGTTTCTTCTTTAGAACAAAAAAAAAAAAAAAAAACAACAGGAAAAACTTATTAAAAATTCCATTTAGCTAACAGCACTTAACTAACACTAGCTAAAAGTACTGGATTACGGCGGCAAAAGGAAACGGAAATGAAATTTAGACCTTTAAATGATTTGAAAAGAAAACAAGTAAGAATACGGTCATACCATATTATTGATATTTAATAGCAATGCTTGTATGAGTCGATTTCAACAAAACTAGAACTGAACTAGAACTGAACTGAACTAAATAGAACTGAACAAACTAAACTAGACTGAACTAGAACTGAAACTAGAACCTGAACCTAGAACTGAACTAGACTGAACTAAACTGAACTAGAACTGAACTAGAACTGAACTAGAACTGAACTAGAACTGAACTAGAACTGAACTAGAAACTGAACTAGAACTGAACTACTGAACTGAACTAGAACTGAACTAGAACTGAACTAGAACTGAACTAGACTGAACTAGAACTGAACTAGAACTGAACTAGAACTGAACTAGAACTGAACTAGAACTGAACTAGAACTGAACTAGAACTGAACTAGAACTGAACTAGAACTGAACTAGAAATGAACTAGAATGAACTAGAACTGAACTAGAACTGAACTAGAACGAACTAGAACTGAACTAGAACTGAACTAGAACTGAACTAGAACTGAACTAGAACTGAACTAGAACTGAACTAGAAACTGAACTAGAACGAACTAGAACTGAACTAGAAACTGAACTAGAACTGAACTAGAACTGAACTAGAACTGAACTAGAACTGAACTAGAACTGAACTAGAACTGAACTAGAACTGAACTAGAACTGAACTAGAACTGAACTGAACTAGAACTGAACTAGAACTGAACTAGAACTGAACTAGAACTGAACTAGAACTGAACTAGAACTGAACTAGAACTGAACTAGAACTGAACTAGAACTGAACTAGAACTGAACTAGAACTGAACTAGAACTGAACTAGAACTGAACTAGAACTGAACTAGAACTGAACTAGAACTGAACTAGAACTGAACTAGAACTGAACTAGAACTGAACTAGAACTGAACTAGAACTGAACTAGAACTGAACTAGAACTGAACTAGAACTGAACTAGAACTGAACTAGAACTGAACTAGAACTGAACTAGAACTGAACTAGAACTGAACTAGAACTGAACTAGAACTGAACTAGAACTGAACTAGAACTGAACTAGAACTGAACTAGAACTGAACTAGAACTGAACTAGAACTGAACTAGAACTGAACTAGAACTGAACTAGAACTGAACTAGAACTGAACTAGAACTGAACTAGAACTGAACTAGAACTGAACTAGAACTGAACTAGAACTGAACTAGAACTGAACTAGAACTGAACTAGAACTGAACTAGAACTGAACTAGAACTGAACTAGAACTGAACTAGAACTGAACTAGAACTGAACTAGAACTGAACTAGAACTGAACTAGAACTGAACTAGAACTGAACTAGAACTGAACTAGAACTGAACTAGAACTGAACTAGAACTGAACTAGAACTGAACTAGAACTGAACTAGAACTGAACTAGAACTGAACTAGAACTGAACTAGAACTGAACTAGAACTGAACTAGAACTGAACTAGAACTGAACTAGAACTGAACTAGAACTGAACTAGAACTGAACTAGAACTGAACTAGAATTGATCTAGAACTGAACTAGAACTGAACTGAAATTAATACAGCTTTAAGAAAAATGTTTGTGTATTATTAATTTTAATATTGTTAATTATTAATTAAAATTCTTTGTAATAACAAAATTCTGCTATTATTTAATAAATAGAGTCAATCTTACCACAAAAACAAAGAAAATGCTTTTGAATGTTTAATTAATTATTACTTTATGTAAAATTCCTTACAATTAAATAAGGCACAAAGAAAATTTAACAAAAACAAAAGCCTACTTATAAAGCATTTTAAATTTAACTACAATTTTGTGGCCTACTTTAAGGGCTTTCCTTTGAAAATATTTAGGAATAACTAAAGCAGATATTGTTTCACTAAACAACATAAAAGAGATATTTGAAATTATTAACAATTTAAAATTTATTGTGCATAAAAACATATTAACTTTCATTTGATACTTACTATTTACTACATACTACTAAGTATTGTATTAAAAGAATACTAGAAAGTTTTGTTTTTTAATGCTTGACTGGTAGCTTTAACATTTCTATCTAAGTAAAATAATATGTATAAATATACCTCAAAGTCTTTGTTTTTTTTTTTTTTTTTTTCAATAGGAGGTGGTAAGGTGGGGGGGGGGGGACATGTATCAACAAATCTACATAAGCTGATACACCCACTGATTAGCGTATTTTTTATATTTTTTAAATTGCCTTTTATGCAACGATTACTTCTAGACAATTTATTTTTTTGTTTTTTTTTTTGCCTTTGTTACAATTTTTTCCATTTGTTGGCTTTGCGTTTGTTGGATTTGTTTGTGTTCTATATGAAAGACACAAACGAAGCAAATAAATGATTTTCCATTTGAACTACTCGAACAAAATAAAAAAGCAGCAAACTAAAATAAAACAACAAGCAACTTTAGTACGAAAGATCTACTATAAGTGAAGATAGCTGCGAATATACACACATTTACTACATATAGATGTAGTACCACTATATGTAAGTATGTGTGCAGATGCCCTGCAATTCACGGTATATGACTATTAACAGCATTATATTTCAGAACGGAGCTAATTTGTCCTACACAGACTACAAACACATCGATAATAATTGACTTGTAAAGTGCAGAAAAGTAAGTTTACTATATCTACTACTAGACTATTTTGTATTCCCTTTAACCAAGGACGTTTGCATTCCACTTAAATGAGGTGAACCATAGACTTCTTGTATATTTGCTGGGTTATATTTTGCTGGCAGTTTTTATTTCCGCTTAAAAAATGGCTGTTTGTTTAGTAAGTATGTAGTGGTCGTAGTGAGCTACCACTAAGTACATACACATGATGAAAAAATACAGTTAATATTTCTATATAGACGTAAAATACATACATATGTAAATACATAAGTAGTTATATAGATGTGTGTATGTACTTTACATGTATGTTTGTAACACAAACTTTGTATGTATAAAACCAATTCTAAACAATTTACCATAAGCCTTTCTAAAACCCTACTGCAATGTTTATATACAAAGGTACTTTCATATGTATGGTTGTGAGTATTTACGCAGATCTGTATGTATATCTCTATATACATAAGTTTGTTTCACATGTGTTTGTGTTTTGAACTATAACTGTGTGTGAGTTTTTTTGTTGATAGAAAGGGATTTTCCACTATAGACATACATACATACATTCATACAAAAACTTTCAGTTTTTCTATCTCATTTTCCACAATTTTTGTTGTTGTTATTTCTTTTTATTATCATTTTGCTATTTTTTTCATTATACACTTTATTGCAACAGCAGAGAAAAAAACAACAACAAAAACGACAATGACAATAAATATGCAATGACATTTGAAGCTTAAATATAAAATCAACAACAAAAACAACATCAACTACTCCTACAAAACATCAACTATGATTGTTTAGACAGCAGCAAAAACAACTACAACAACAACAACAGTATAAACAACTCAAACATTTTCATGTAATAAATATACACATCTATACACAAAAATAACATTATCATTCTCTTATTTGGTCTCATAAATTGCAAGTGTATTTAAGTAGTGATTCCCAACAGAAAATTTTCATTGAATTTAAATTGAGAAATATTTCATATACAGATAACAAAATACCTAACAGAAGAGCATAGATACGTATACGCATTATAACTAAACAATATTACTCATACCACCTATGGTTCGTTTAAAGCTTTAAATAGCTTTATAAGAAATTAATAGAATAATTAAACTGCATTAGGTACAGTTCTAGTTCAGTTCTTGTTCAGTTCTAGTTCAGTTCTAGTTCAGTTCAGTTCTAGTTCAGTTCTAGTTCAGTTCTAGTTCAGTTCTAGTTCAGTTCTAGTTCAGTTCTAATTCAGTTCTAATTCAGTTCTAGTTCAGTTCTAATTCAGTTCTAGTTCAGTTCTAGTTCAGTTCTAGTTCAGTTCTAGTTCAGTTCTAGTTCAGTTCTAGTTCAGTTCTAGTTCAGTTCTAGTTCAGTTCTAGTTCAGTTCTAGTTCAGTTCTAGTTCAGTTCTAGTTCAGTTCTAGTTCAGTTCTAGTTCAGTTCTAGTTCTGTTCTAGTTCAGTTCTAGTTCAGTTCTAGTTCAGTCTAGTTCAGTTCTAGTTCAGTTCTAGTTCAGTTCTAGTTCAGTTCTAGTTCAGTTCTAGTTCAGTTCTAGTTCAGTTCTAGTTCAGTTCTAGTTCAGTTCTAGTTCAGTTCTAGTTCAGTTCTAGTTCA